ACCTAATGACACATTTCTCAGAATGTGTCTCTGTCATTAAGTGGTACATAACTGTATTCATAATTCTCATACCCTTGGCCCCAATTCTCAACACCCATCTACCTCTTACATATTCCCAAGTGAACTGTCCCACAGATTTCAAACTCAAGGTTCAAAATTGTACTTTAAGCCCAATCTCTTCTCTATCTCCTCACTCAAGCCACAAATCTGTGAGTCATCATTTGCAATTTCTTTTTATTTACCTCTATATCCAACAGGTTACCAATTCTACCTTCTTAATATTCAGTGGTATGCAGGTAATAAATATTTAACAATTTTTTTTTTAAGCTCTCCTGGCTTAAAAAAAAAAAAAAAAAAAAAAAGCCCTGACTTAAGGCACTTGCCTATTTCTGTGATGTAAATACCTCACCATAGCCAATTTCAAGCAACCAAATTGATATCGCTGAACATGCAGTTGGGAAGTGATGCGTACAAATGGCTCCAACACACCACTATCTGTTCCTCAGAACCATTTCTTATCTCCATGCCTACTGGTATTGCCCTAATTCAGGATTTCCTCTCTCCCCTCAACAAACAACAGAATATTCATGGATTTCCTGACCTCTGTCTCATAACCTATCCCTCCATTTGACACAGCCTCCAAAATATCTTTCTAAAATCCAGGTATCATCATGTTACTCCCCTGCTAAAACCCTTTCATTCGTTCTCCGTTGCCCACTCTTTATCTTCATAATAAGGCCCTTGATAATTTGGTCTTTATGGACTCTTGAGCTTCATGTCTTGCCACACAATCATCTATAACTTCTATTCCAATCACAATGACATATATCTTATTCTCAGATATATGATACTGCTCCATCCCCCTGCACCTTTGCTTATTCTGTCCCCATTCCTTAGGACAGCCTTTCCCAATTTGTTCACTGAACAAGCCTCTTTTAAGATCAGCTCAAATACCTTCTCCAGGAAGCTTTTTCTGCATTTTTTTAGGTAGACTTAATGTCTCCCACTTTTAAACCTCCAGTAAGTTTCAGTACCTCTCACACTTCATTGAATTGATTTCTTTTTATATTCATCTCTTCCCACTAGACATGAACTTCTTGAAGGCAAAAGCTGGATCTTATTCATGGATATACCAAGCATGTAGTATGGTAATGGGATACATACAGTAGGCTCGCGATAAACAGTGACTATTATCCCAACAACTAGCGCCGAAGACCAAAATATTCTAATTACTCAAACATCTGTTGAATGAAAACATACCAGTATCTTTTTGCCATCTGCTCAAGGCCAGAGGACTAAGATACTCAACCTGTACCTTCCAGATTGTTAGGGAGCCCAAGATCTACTGCCACAGTCAAAGAAATTGCACTGTATTTTCTTTTATTTTTTTCTTTTCGGCCTCTGTATTACTTTCCTAGAGCTGCCATGACAAAGTAATACCTGGCTTAAACAACAGAAGTGTATTTTCTTATAGTTCTAGAGGCTAGAAGTCCAAAATCAAGCTGTCACCAGGGTTGCTTTCTTCTGAAGCTTCTCTCCTTTGCTTACAGATGGCTGTCCTCATGCTTACATCGTTTTCTCCCTCTATAAGTCTCCATATCCAAGTTTCCTCTTCTTATAAGTATATCAGTCATATTCAATCAGGGCCCACATTCATGACCTCATTTTAACTTAATTACTTCTTTAAAGATCCTGTCTCTAAATACAGTCACATCCTGAAGTACTGGAGATTAGGACTCCAACATATTAATTTTAGATGGACAGAATTCGGTCCATAACAGCCTTCTACTAGATTGTGAGCTTTTCAGAAAACAGGAGCTAGATCTTAGTCTGTCTTCTTTTTTGTATCCATTATTACTAGAAGAGTACCTAAAACACAGTAGATTCTCAAATTATTTGTGGGATACGTAAATGAAAGTCATTCCCAGAAGTATTATCCATATCTGTGGAGTATGGCCCCTTCCGAATCTGGTGACCATCACCAAGAAGAATACGGCTTTACTCTTCCCCTGAAAGGAAGCTTTGATGCTGTCATGATCTCTAGATTGTCCATTGCCAAACAGCCATTTTTATAGCACCCAACACCCAGCAGAAAAATAAAATTTTAAGACCAGACACCTAAAGCCGATTAACAATGCCCGCCTTCCTCCAGATTTATTCTGCTACACCCAGAATGGCAGCATCATGCACACCTAGCATCAGATTCAAAGTCAAGGGAAAACTAACACTGCTCTGCCTAAAGAACAAGGTGTAGCAGCTTAGCAGAAAAGATAAAATGAGCATCTGCCTTTTTCAACCCAAAAAGAAACTTCTCCTTCACCATTCTGTGTGATTTTGGTGGGCCCATCAATCATGCAGCTTGCCTTCCT